TTAGCACTGCCTGACTCGCCTGTTTTACTAGCCTTGTCCTGGTGCTGAGACTGGTAAAACATTCTAATATATGTACTGCAGTCACAAGTGAACATAAAAAAAACTCCCAGATAGTGCAAGATTTACACTCCGTCTCGAGAAAGTGGTTACTTTTATAACACCATTGCACTGGAGATAACATCTCACAGCTTCCAACTAGTCCTGCGGTAAAAAAAACAGGTCATTGCATTTGATTTGTTAGTTTAATTCTCATTGACACACCGAGAAAATATGTGTTTACTCAAAGCAAAATCCAAATTAAAAATGTGGTCGCGTTGTATTTTCTCTTTCCTTTTTTTATGAGTAGGTAGCTGTTTGAAATCTGCAGCTTACCACCTCGTATCACATTTAGTGTTTGTGTATGTGTGTACGTGCTGTTGACCTCAAACCTGGCGACAGCCCCTGCTAACAGCTGGTTTTCTGCCAGTTTTTTTCTGCAAGGCTATCAGAAAATTAGCTGAGCTGTGTGGAGGCTTGTTGCAGCACCTTAATATAGCATTAAGCTGGGTGACCGGCTCCCTTGACTTTGTTGCCTGTGTGATTGCACTTAGCATCTTTAGCATGTGGTCCTCTTACTAAAGTCATGCATGCAGCATTTTCACACCACAGTCTGTTCGCTCCTCTAGCTTGAACAGAAGCTAAGGTGTTTCCTCAGTAATGGTAATACTCGTAGATTATTATAAGGGAATAAAGTGCCTCCATGTCTACACTGTTTTGATGATCATTTAAGTCATCCCTGGAATTAAATTAAAGGCCAGCTTGTGTGACCCTCTGAGCATCCGTGTAAATAAACAACATGCAGGACATGGAGTGTCAGCACGTCTTTAATCATCTCTGCTCCGTCTTCATCCTTTCCAGGCGTTGCTTTCTCCTCTCCCTGTCTGCCTCCCTATGACCTGTCTATTTACCCAGCATTCCCCTCTGTAATAAGGGGCGTTCGTTCATCAGGCATGTTTAAACTGCAGACAGGATTAACTTGGCTAAAGACTTAATGCTCATGCACAGTCACCCCATGCTCTGTTTGCCGTCTCCAGGCTGCAGGTCGACAAGCAGCTCTGTCTGGCTTCCCTCTCTTCCTTGTTCTCTGTCTCTCTCTGGGCTTCTCCACCTCCTCCGTCTCCTCCGTCCTCAATTCGGCTGAATTAATTGAGTTCTCATTTTTGTGAGAAAGCACACAGGAGGGCTGTGTGAGGAGGGAGAGAAGAGTGATAGAAAGACAGTCAGAGACAGAGAATGATCAGTAGCAGAGGCCTGGGGGGAGGGGGGGGGGGAGGCAGAGCTCTCCCAGAGGTAGGCAGTCACCAGTTTCCTCAGGGACGCTGAGGCCCCTCTGCAGTGACTTATATCTTTATCCTCTCAACAGTCACCTCTCAGCACTTCAGGGAACACCCACAGGCTAGTGGTCAGGGTCAGGCAGATGTGATACTTCAAGCCCCAGCCCAAGGGACACTGCCATCTAATTTAAGCTCTTTGAGTCTGAAAATCTAAGAAGTGGAACTACTGAAAAAATAATGCAAGTGGAGGTATTTTACTTCAAAAAGAGAGAAGTGAGACAAACACATATTAACACAAGTAACATTGTTGATGCTAGCTATATGAAACAAGTAACCTTAGCAACAAAACAAAATGCTACCTAGTACATTTTAATAAAGAGAAAGTACATTTTAGAAAGTACATTGTTTAACCAACACAGCTCTTGTTTTAAAGAGGTAAGATGTGAAGTGAGATGATTCACCGAACTAGATGCTAACCAAAATGTTAAATGCATGGGATCTAAGACCTGTGTATGATAATTTTCTTGGACCTCTAATGATGCTTTCCCCCAAGAATATTTTAGGTAGCAAACAGACTTGTAACTTGGATGTTTTCCGTACTTGTATCTAAAGCCCTGTTTCCACCAAGCCGTTCAGTTTGGTTCAGTCCAGTTTGGTTCAGTCCAGTTTGGTATGGTAAACCCTGATCTTGCTTGCGTTTCCACAGCCAACCGTACCCTTAGACATCACTAAATCAGAGCTGCACGATATAATGTAGAAAGCAAAGTTATTATTGGTATAATTGCAATAGAAGAGGCCCGTGACAGGCATGGCCATTTGTATTTTCCATTCTTTTAACTGAATATAAAAACAAGCTGTGCACCTACAGGCATCATGTACAGACATGATGTCTGCAGGTCTGCAGGTACCTTAATGTACCTTGGCCTGAACCCTTTCAATAATGAACCATTACAACTTCTCCTCTTTCAATATTCATGCAGGGCCAGATCACTCCTTCAGACGTCTTAGGTTGCTGTAAGTTGAGATAAACACTTGCCGAGTTGTAACAGCCAATCACCCGCCTCTATTCCTCAATGTCACTGCCTTAGCACTCAATAATTCAAAGCTTGGCGATAATGAGCTCCCCGTAGGCCCTGTCCCCGAGGAGCCTCCCCACTGTGCCTCCCCTGTAATGTAGTTATATCTCATGTCAGCTTTCAAATCAATTACATTTCTATCTGATGGCTATGTAATTGCGCCTGATTGAGTTTTTGGCACATCAGCCAAGTGTGTGGTTCACAAACTCAAGCCAGTCAAAACAGGAAGCTTCATCAAATGAAACTGTATTTCATCCTGATTGAGGCTGCTTGCATGATAAGCACAAGTGTAATTATGATAATAATAACAATAGCAATCTGTGTTTTCTCAGCTTTGTTGTTTCTCATTCTGTGCTCTACAGAATGAATTTTGCCCCAAGGACGACGCACAACATTTGCTTTACTTAAGATGCAAAGACTGATTTGATTGTTTGTAGCAAGAGCAATTAAGTAGAATAAATACAAACCATGATTCTTTTACTCAAACCAACTTCACATGTGAGGTTCTGGTTTTGCTGGCTCGAGCGCTGCAGACTTTTGTTTTCTGCGGGATTAAACTTAACGACTATAGCCATAGCGATCTTTAATGGTCCGCTTTGATTTCTTCACGTGTTAAACGTACACCACTGCCAACAGAAGTCATACTGCCGTTGGCATACTGCCTAGACATAAAAAGCTAACCCCTTAGGTATGGCAAATAGCTGACAGATAAGGTCAGAGCATTATTGTTGTGTAAGTCAGATGTTTCAGAGCTGAATGAGAGGAATTACAGATGGATAAACCGATGGATGGATGTCCTGGACGATGGAGGGGCTAGGAATGCACAAATGGATGGATGGAGGACTGGAAATACGGATGAATAGGTGGATCAACAGAAAGTATGCCTGGATGGACAGAGGGAATACTCTAATGGAGTGGTATTGAGATAGATGAGGGGGAGGATGCTGTGGTTAGGTGCATCAGCAACTAAATAGAGATGAATTGTGGCCGCTGTCAGCAGCACTAAGTATAACAGACATAGTAAAGCAGCCTGGCTCATCCATAATCAGCAGACACAGATTGTCTTCATGCCAGGAGAGAACTTCTCTTGAAATAAAGCAGTGAGAGCATCTACCAATCCTTCTTTCTATCCCTATTTCATCATCCCCCTTCTTGTTACATCTCCTTACTCTTGGTATTCTTGCCCTTTAAATCTCTTCACTTGTACTATTCTCTGCTCATTTCTCTTCTTAAGGTCTTGCATTTTTCTGTCCTTCTCTTCCTCCGACTCTGTCTTTTGTGTTAACAGCCTGCCATTTTTTTTTTGCAGTGGGAGAGCCACTGGGTGCACATCTACAATCTTGCCTTTCATTTCATGGCTTCTGGAAATGGATGTTTTACTGCCTTCATTAAGGCATGCGGCAGTCAGCACCGTGTTTTCCCTCTGAAGTTTAGCTCCATGAACCTCGCCATTAGAGGACATTATGGCCCCAGATTTCAGGGCACAGTGGAACACTGTATAATTTGATTAGTGTTATTAATCAAGTGGAATACCGCTCCTTTCACCCGCCATCCCCCTCCCCTCCTCCTCCTTTCTGCCATTTCACTTCTGCTTTCAAACCCTTCAGACATTCCCTTCCCTCTTCCGCCTCCCTCTATCTGTCCTCCTCTCCATCGCCTTTCACAACAACACAGTATACTGAGTGTGACAAAAGGCCTTACGCCTTCCCTTTTAAAAACAATGATTTACCACTTGTTTTTTTTCCTCCTCCTCCTCCTCCTCCTCTAGCCCCCTGCCCCCCTTCTCTTAGCCCAGGACATAAATCAATTGAGATGAAAGTTCCATAATTGTGCTTGCTGGGAGGGATTTGAGCAAAATTGCGCTATGAATTTTTTAAAGGGAATTTTTACTAGCTGTTCAGCGAGACTTGGAAGGCGATGGAAGGTGAGGCCACAAGGATTTATGGGCCTGGATTCTTCATTACTGAAGTAATTTTCCTGCAAATGATAGTGCAGCACCCTGGAGGGGGGAGCGCTGCCCGCCTGGGAGAGTACAAACCTACTTAATCTCTCGTGGAGAGAGAGCAGCTCAGAGCACTAATATCATCTGTAAGCGACCGAGGCACCATTTGTTCACATCTTAACCGCAACTAGTGTATTTTTGAATCATAGTAATTGATTGCTCACATCCATTCCAAGAGTATACGAGTTTATTTAATTCAGGGGGATGATTTTACATAGAACTGCATTAAAATATGCACCTGGGTCGTTTTTACGATAGTGTTTGCAAATATCTGTATATTTTGTCAGATGTTAAGTTTTCAGTGTGATTAATCTAACTTCAAAGGTTCAAATGTTCATAAGCTGTTATATGTGCACTGCAGAAGCTGAGAAACTAATCAGGCTAGACATTACATGGTCTATTTTTTTCTTCTTCTGTGGTTGACACCCAGTCATCTATGTGTTCTAGTGTGCATGTCCGTCCTTGTGACTATGATTGTGCTTGCTAAGCCTTCATGTTGTTTCTTCAGCAAGGCTCTCCACCTGTCTCTCTTCCTTTGGTCTTTCCTTCTTTCCTCATTTCAAACTTCCTCAGTCCAATATGGCTGACGTTCTGTCTCCATCTCTTTAGGTGCAGCCAGCAGCAGTGGCCCTCTTCAAGGTTAGTGCGTCCACAATGCCAGGTCTCATTCTTTATCCTGCCTGCCGTCCACTCAATTTTACAGCTCAGTAGCTTGAGAAGCAGAGGGGGTAAATCTGCTGCAAGAGGGAGAAAGAGAGAGGGGGGCGGGGGGACAAAATTATTGTGCACCCTGTCGGCAATTGAAGTGGATCTCATTCCAGGCACACTAACAACTCAAGACAATTAGTCACTTCTCACTAGGCCAGACCTGAGACTCACTTGAGGGCCAAAAAAAGGCAGAGAGTAGAGGACCCACTAGCATGGCTGAGCACTGCAGTTACCGGAGCGATTCAGTGGAGAGAGAGGCAACTTAGAGATGGAATGGCTCTGAGTTGTGCTGAACGGCTCCTTGGGGCTTTTGGTGCAACAGTGAGATAGAAATAGGAGTAAGGAAGTTAGGATTAATGAACTGATACACCATAAAGAGCCATACAAAATTCTGCACCATGAAAATATCATTCAATCTAAATGAGTATCCTTCTTTATGAGCAGGAGATAAAATGAGGATTCCAGACAATAATGTTCACACTTTTACCAAGTATATGCAGTTAATGTTGATATTTGTCCTGATTTGATTCATCTGGTAAATAATGTGTCATGCATAACCTTTTTATAACATTCATCAAGATAAAACTGAGACCACAATGTCAGTAGTCCTTTATGTCCCTCCTAATTGGAGGTCCATGGTAGTTTGCTGCCAAAGATGAGCACTGAAGCTTCAGCCAGCACATGCTCCTGAACAAAAGTGAAGCATGACTAAGGTGGGTGGTGCGTGGAGGATCAGGGAGTGGAAAGAGAGAAAAGTTTGTCCCCGGCCCTCTGCGGAGACGCAGCGTGACCAATTGAGGTGAAGGGGATGAATGAGGCCATTCACTGGCTCTAATGAAAGAGTTCCTGCTGGGCACTGAATGAGGGTGGGCCTATCTGCAGCGCATAGGCGTGCACAAACCAGTGACCTCGAAAATTACCCAGGAAGCACTTTAGGACAGTCGCCCCAGCAACAGGTCGGGGTGCCCATAGTAACCAGGCGCTTCAATCAGTGCCTGGCAGCTTCTCAAACAGAGCAAAGTTTTTCTCTGTATTGAAAGATCTCTGTGTGAAACCAACTTTGAGGGACGCCCACCAGTTTTGTATTGGCAGGGAGCTGCCAATAGTCATCCCATGTGAGCACGTCCAGGAGCTCTCACCAGCTTGGAGAGGTGTGGGATGCTACCCTCAGGACTTCTCCTTTTAAAGGCACAAAGACCTGTTTGTCTTACATACACATGTGAATGTGCTGCCTGAGTGTATACGCAGCGCTGTATGTAGGTTAATTAGGTTCAGGGGATGTATGGAGGCAGGTTTAGGAGCTTGTGAAATAGATCCAATTACAAAGATTCCAGATAAGGTGAGAGGTTCCTTCAGCATCTCTGGGGACTGGACATTAAGTTTGCAAGCATCTTTAGGGATCTGGTTCATTGAATGTTATCTGTGTTATTCTGTTTAATATATTCAGTCCTGATGAGCCAGAGGCGCGCAGGTCATTGAAGTTCCATTCCTCAGCTCCCTCATGGAACTTTTGACAGCATGAAATGACAATCCGCCCCTGCACGCATCTCCCACGTCAAAAAGTAATGAGATTGTGCTGCTGGAAATATCACTACAAAGCATCAGACCTGCACTCGGGTCTGACTGCACCTTCAAACGGCGCTGCCTGCCAGCTCGCCTGCCTCGCCTGCCTGCTGAAAAGGAAACGAACAAAAACAATCAGAATCAGAGACAGAGAAACGGCAAGGGAAGCTCCCCACGCTGAGACAAACGAACACGCCGGGGTCTTTCATCCTGCGAGTGATTAGCCATCCGAAACGTTTTTAAAACCGGCTTTGAGTGTGTTCCTCAAACGGAAGAGTTCCATTGAGGAGTGGTGGTGAGATGTTTCTCGCTGGGAACCGCCAGTGATCTAGTCTCTAATTGTGGCGCCGCTGACAAAGCTGGCGTGGCTGGGAGCTTTTTAAGCGGGCCTTTTTGCTACGCTCTTGTTACCCTCCTATCAGATCCACCACCAGAGGCACCAGGGAACAAATAAGGGCCCTTAGATTCTGTTCTTACTTCCATCTGCCTATTTCTTTGTGCATAAACACAGGATTATTTTAGCACGCTAATAGGCTCTGATGCTAGCCTAATGTGACCAAAACTACAACAGGGGCTGTGTATGTGGTGTCTGGTTACCGGTATGTGATATAATCTAATATGTTTTTTATTTCCTATAATTGCTGTCTTCTCCTCTCTTATTTATTTCATTTTTTCATTGATCACAGTGTCTCAGCTTCAGAGAAGATTCAAAGATCCTGAAACATTGGCACTAGAGTTACCCTTCTTAGACATTATAGTAGGAACAAAGCCATGCTCAGCGTTTTTGAGCGGCGTTCAGAAGAGCGGGTTGAAGCGCTCAGAATTTGGCTCTGAAAACTTTTTTTTTTTTTCGGAGCCTCCACTGTTCAGAAGCCAGGTTGTCGAAGGTTTGAGGAATCTTAGAGAGGCGGTTTGAAGCATCAAAGAATCAGCAACAGTCGGGGGAGAAAGGGGGGAAGGGCAGAGATGGAGAGGAAAAAGGAGTGAAACCCGAGCTCATGAAAAATCAGTATTATAACAACATTAATTGATGCTGCTGAGTGCCATATGTGATGCCATATGGAAAAGCTGCCCCAGAGGCCTGCTATAATAGACAGCCCGCAGCGGTGCACACAACTTGGCACATTTACAAACAAGGGACGTCCCATTAATATCAGCTATGCAGACAGAACAGGAGACAGTGGGGGGGGGGGGGGGGGGGAGAGGGGGGGGTGAGAGAGAGGGAGGTGCCGAGAAAATACAGAGGGAACAGTATTACCTCTTGTTTTGTTTGCTTGCAATATTAAGTCCTTTTTTTCCGCACTATATTTCCACGTCCCTCATACAACAATTTCAGGAACTGTAAAGGAATTACTCAATGTGCAAATACATTGAAATCTCTGCTGCTGTACCCCCACCGCTCCTTAATTACAGTAATAAATGGCCCCTCCCATCTGGGTCAGTCAGACCGCCCTCTGTCCACCCAACTGTCACTCCCACCACAGATGCCTAGTAGTCCTTTCATTACACACACACACACACACACACACACACACACACACACACACACACACACACACACACACACACACACACACACACACACACACACTTCAGCGAGTAAGGTGATTCATAGCACCTTGACAAAGGCGGCGTGAACGAGCTCTGTTTAACCTCTTCCGTGCCTAATCACAGGGCGGCTGTTATTTACTGCTGCTGTCCTCAGTGTGCACCGCTCGGCTGCTCACAACACTGTCCAAATCTCACCCTGCAATATGTCTCCTGTTATATAGACTGCACAGATATTCTGCAAGACATTACTCACTTTAAATGTAAGTTTTGGTGTGGAAAAATATATTAATAACGTACTCATTTAAAATAGATTAATGGAATGAATAATTTACATCTTGTAAGTACTTCTAGGCTCCATGGTAATTAAAAGCAAATGCCACATTTCTTGGGTAACAATATGGTATTTTTTCGACTTAATTGTTTTTATTTCAAAGATTATAATGAAACAAATCCAATAATGGATGATTTAATCTATATATTGTTTATATCCTAAACATGATGTCTTCAAATTGGGATTTTAATCCAAACTAAGATGCAAGAGACAGAAAAACCACCATCATCACATCGTAGCGAGTGGCAGAGAATAAAAAGCATTGTGCTTTGTAAGGGGCGATCATAAAATTAAAACTCATTGTCTCAACGTCTCTCTAATGGAGAGAAGCTGACAATGCCAATTACAGAAGTCAAAGAGAATATAAGTCAGGGCAGCAAGGTTTGAACCCTTTGAAGTTGATGCTTGCATCCTGTGAGGAGGTCTACTTTTTCTTTCCCATATGATGTGATGGAACCATCAGACGATCTGAAAACAGAAATGTAGGTGTCATGCCCCCATATAACTCGGATGTTCACGCAAACGGTTTTCAAGTGAGGAACTTCTGACTCCTCTGAAGTGCCCAGAGCAAGGAGGGAGCAGCAGAGCTCCTTATGAAACGGAGTTGTCAGGCTTTCTGTTGAGTTTCATAGAATGTGAGGCGAAACAAGAGAAGTGTTCAGCTGTTTCCTCCCTGACACAGAGGGAGGCAGATGAAGAGCAAAAGAGAGAAAGAGGGAGGGAGGGAGGGAGGAAGAGGGTGCGAGAGCGAGAGAGCTCTCCGCTCTGTGATGTGCACTGATGTAGCTGCAGCTCTAGGTCAAACGCTGCCAGTGTTTTGTGTTCATCTTCGTCTCGTCTCCCCAGTGCTCCTCTAAATTATTCACAGCCTGAAGATGTGCAATGTGGCTGCCTCCTCCCTTCCCCTCTCCTCCTTCATTCGACATCGCTCTCCGTCTCTCTTCCTCTGTTTCCCGTCCCTTCCTTTTCCTCTCAAGTGACGGCTTGTTTCAGAGGCAATGAACAGAAGTTTCTCCTTGCAAAGCGGGCTTACCCCCAACCCCCCCACCACCACCTCATCCCACATCCACTCATCTACCATCAACCACCCACCTTTCATCGCTGATTCCGTCTCTCACACTCTTTTATCCCCGATCGTCCCTCGCTTGCCTCTCCTGGCTGCCAAACTAGAGCCAATCCGCTCCTTTTTTTAAAGTGGAGGCTGCCAGCTGTTAGCATCATCTCCTTGCTAGCTCCCAACACGATGCAGGGGTTGGATTGGCAGTCCCCCCCTGCGTTTCTTTTCATCCCTTTGTCTCAAGTCTTTAATGATTTACAATGACTATGTGCACATTTTATAGAGCCAAGCTGAAAGATAAACCCCCAAGCGTGCAACCAATCCTCAGGTCAGTCCATGGCACTGATTAAAGATGTTGCCTTCAGTCATTTCACCTTTAACATAGTGCGGGGGGCTTTAGGAAACCAAGGACATGGTGGGGCTACGGTT